AGTTGGACTTCATAAATCATACGCGTTCTCTCAGAAATAGGGACTTAGTCAAAAATGGCGATGCTCTATAAAGTATGGCAGTAAAATAGGATTTTTTCACCTTCACTGCCTATGCGAAGCTGTCGCTTACTCCTGAGGAAGCCTACTGCCCTCATCAACGCGTTTACCGTCTTTCTCGTCTCATTCTATGGCAGTCTGAATAGCATCGATGAGTTGGTAAGTAGTGACGTCCTCATTGCGACTTTCCGCCATTTTTAGTTCCCGGTTTTTTTAAATTTGAGTCACGACAGGGCTTCAGACCGGAAAAAGTTGTCTGCACGACGGTATTAGTTGCTAAAATAGTAACTTGGCAAGACGAGTCTCCAGTGTTGGAGACTATTTACTAAGTGTACTGCAAAGACGGATGTGTGGTCAGTAAGAATTGTGAGATATCAGCTAAACGGTAGCTTGTGAACTCAATGAATAGTAGGCAGCAATGATAGAGCTTTGTTTTTGGTTTTGTGACGTCTTTTCGTTGAAGTTACTGTCTAAGATGCCTTAAGACTGTCTTTCCAGTTCCATCAGGAAACGTGTATGGCCAATCAGCTTTGACGCCGTAAGCGGAAGCGTCTGCAACTACGGCGATCGGTAGCTCTGGCGCATAATGAAGAATTGAGAGGCCTGACCTCAACATGGTCTTTAGCCCGAAAACTCTGGATTCGCATTCATCCGACCGGCTTCATGGGAGGACTTTCCAAGTATGACGTTCAGTGAGGTCTGAGTAGTGCAAAACGATGAAAAAGTTTCGAATGGCAACCTACGAGTTCCCAAAACAAAAGAATTGTTGAAACATTCTTCAGAGTTAACATTTGCTGGATTTCTCTGATGTCTCTTAGATCAGAATGACGAGTAGTAGCAGTGGAAATGAAGTCCAGGTTTTTATCTGATTTCCAAAAGAGTTTGCGTTTATCAGGGTGCAAATGGAGCCCGCTCCATTGGATGTGCTTAAGTTTAGACACGGTGTGATCCAAAAATTCACCCTATGCAATGCTTAAACTCAAAATAGCATGCAAGAATATAACAACATAATGGATAGCGGACAGAATAGTGTCCATTACATGCTGGAAAGTAGCCGAGTCTTCAGATGGACAGCTAGTCAGTTGTATTGAAATAACCAATACATCAAACAGGTAACATCTAGGTCCAACTTGGTGCAAAATGTTCCACCATTTAGGATGGCGGAAAAGTCCACCGGGGCAAGGAAGCAGGTAATGGCCAGAACTCCTTCTTCCACGGGACTCTGTATTTCTGAATTGACTGGATGCAGGCGGGTCTAATGCCGATGCAGCATCAGACTACTGATGTAAGATAATCTTTTTCATAAGGCAATGACTAAGACCTGGTAGGAAGGTGAATGTTTGCATGTATGCATGCATGCGCGAATGCACATTCTCACGTACACACAAGCATGCGCATGTCATGTAATCTGGACCTCTATTCGAACAGATTATAACCCTAGGATTTTATGCGACATTCACAAAACATTTATTTTGCTACAGATGGTCTAAATAAATCGAAATATCAGGGATTTCATGCCTTTTAGTTCATGAAATGGTTCTTTACCAGTGAGTTGGCAGAGCGGTTAGAGAAGGGACTAAATGGATTATTTCCATTTAATGATCTGAACTCGTTTTTACATAAAATCACCAATTAACCATTTTATCGAATCAGAGCTATTAAAATGATGTGAAAGTAAAAGAATAAAAATACAGGTGGTGGGGCTATCACTTTGTTTTACTCTTTCAGTATAGAGGTCAGAAATGTTATTTATTGAATTTCACGTTATATTAGATTACGTTACATAGTATTAGGAGTAATGAAGCTGTTTTCATTCATTTCGACTAGCAATGTTTCGAAACCCCACTTAACTCCATATAGTGGTAGGATGTCGAGGGATATCGGTCTAGTGTGCAAGGTTGTTAAAGTTCAAACTATTTCATACCCCCTTTCGTGACCAAAATCATCTGCAAAATTTGCCATTTGGAACAGAGAAGCACCTTTAAAATCCTACAGATGCTACAAAACGCCATATGGGGGTTTTTTTGAAATACTTAGAAGTATAAATTCGGAACTGGGAAGCAAATCGCGTCTAATGATGAGAGCTATCCGCAGGTGCATTTGACAGGCAAAGGCAGTGACACTCTGTGATGAGTAATAGACGGCTGTAGGAATAAGAGAGGGAATGGATAACATGCCGCCTAAGTAAGGCAACCGGTCACTTACAACCCCCTCCCCCATTGTGAACCAATGGCGTGCGGAGCCTGGCCAAGTCAGCAACAATAGCTAAACCCTACAATTAACATCAAACCAATGAACTATGAAGCAGTGCGCGACAGTTCCCGAAACAGCATATCTTTACCAGAAAACCTATTTACACAAACTGTGGTTGTAAGTACTGAAAAGAAATACCAGTCAAAATTTATTTGACCTGGAGTTGATTATAGCGGCGTAAACAAGTCCCAGAAATAACATAACAAGACAACAAGCGAAAAAAGCGTACATTGCTATTGGTATTTATACAGTTCCATTATATCTGAAAAGGTTCAGCGTCACAGCTATGTACACAGTAATTTGACACGGCATCGTGAGAGACTGGAACGAGGGCGGGGAGGGGTAGCTAAATGCAACGCTGAGCGGGGAGAGGGATAGCAACGGCGATGAGTTGGGAGAGACGATGATTTTATTCGATTCGACAGGTGTCGAAATAGAAGGAAGAGCGCACGAGACGCATAGCGGAGTCGTAGGAGCCTGAGAGGACGCTGTCATGCAGCGCCGCCAGCTCCGACTGTACCGCTTGGCTGTCGGGGTCACGTCGTGGGTAGGATGTCTCAGTCAACAGTTTCTCCATTAAGTAGTGCAACCAGTAGAGATTCGTGATGGGACGAAATGGTCGCCAGTTGTTCCTATGGGAAAAAAGCACTCCATTCAGTGCGAAGCCACCCCGTCTTTTAGCCAAGATACGCTATTTTGAATATATGACTACATCACTGACTTGTCTTAGTGACCGGGCCAATTCAAGTACAGAACTCTACAAATAAAATCCTAAAGGGTTATGAACTGGGACCTCCTAATCACTAAAATCCCTGAATTCACGCGTTATTTTGGTGATAACGAATAAGCTAACTTAATAGCATGCTTGGCAAAATCATGTCCCTGAAATGTCTTAATATCACTGAAATTTCCTTACATTTATCCGTAAGCGGAAGTCTCGTGATTAATCATAGCTATCTATAGTTATTGCCGCGAGGAAAATAAAACAATTGAGTTCAAATAAAGGAAATATCGTGAAACCATTCCACAAGGCAATCTCTTAGTTCATCACCATATTACATGAATTACTCTATTATATTTAACTGCTTATTCAGATACCGTTACTGTTTTCATACAGGAACAATGAAACTAAAATCATGTCTTTACTAGCATTCTTCTAAGAAACGAAATGGTCGAATACCACAGGAGATAGCCGATAATGCAACCGAAGACTCGCAAGACAATGGTTCATTCGAAATAAGAAATAAGGATAAATTTCGGTTTGATGCTAAGTTTCATCAGTAAATGGACGCAGTTTTAACTAATTCTCACTAATCTACTAATTTAATCACACTTGTAAATGCTATTTCATTCACAGACAAATAAACTTTTCATCTTCAGAACACATTTTTTCATTTGAGATCTTATTATAAATAATAATTAAGTCCTGGCCGAGGGGTCATACAAGACTTCGAGCCCCAAACATAACGGCGGAACACAGTGGAAAAAAACGGTGTTATAACGATACTTCGATAAACTATTCCGACTTAATATCGAAGATTTGATTTATCCGAGCCCCTAACAGTGAAAGACTGGCTCTATTGAGATGACTTTTATTTCAAGTAGAATTGTAAAAAAATTTACATCCACCAGCTTTCTTCGATGTATTTTAACGACTAGAGAAGAAACAAGCCTCCACACTTTAGCATAAACAAATAGTGCACAACTTTTACGTTCTCTGCTATGACGTTAGTTTTTGGTTCAAATCAACCGCACTATCTTGATTTATAGCCATTTCGTTTCAATCAGATATTCCGAAATTAAGTAAAAGGGCTAAGTTGATTTGTTGACATGAGAATCAAACATTATCTTGATAAGACTAGAAAGCCTAGTAGAGGATCTTTGAGAAAAGTTTAGAATAGGAGTGCACTAGATCAATCAACAGGAAATTATGGGAATACTATGAAATCGTATACCTGAAAATTAATATATTTTATCTATGACCTCTGATCCTAGCCGAAAAAGCACATTTGATACTGAATGGCCTAGTGTAATGATATCGGTCACAGATTTTAGCGCGTCGAATGGAGCACAAAATCAGAGATGTTGATTGGGCATACCCGTTCATATTGCGCATCATTCGGTAAATTTCAAACTGATAGTCACCTTCACATTCGAAAATTTCGGGAGAATCTGACATGTCCACATACACGATGTTGCCTTCTACAAAAAGAAACAAATTAACTAGAGAAATTTATAACGAATTTCTACGAAAAATTCATTAACATCCGTTTAAATATATTTACTAATTTTATTTCATTAGACTGTGTTGTATAACAAAACGTTTAGCACCATCGGCTAGAAAGATAACATATATACAAATTAAACGATCTCTTAATGGGCTTCCATGTCAAATTTTAAAACAAGGGCATACAAGACATATTATGGGTAATTACGAAATGCTAAGCACCTAAAAGAGTAGCGGCAATACGCAAGGTACAGCCTCAAAAACAAACGATTCAAGAGCAGACAAAATCAGTTGGAGGGGTCAATTTTCCTATCACGTCACACGCTCCTAAAATCGATTTCAGTTTGTGTTCACAAATTTCATAAATGCACCTCAATAAGGGGCGCATATAGTCAGAAAGCGGATTCGATATCCGTAGAGAGTTCAATAATAGATAGTCATTTGCAAGTTATTGCACAAAGTTCCAAATTCCTCATATGGAAGGAAACTGATTGAAATGGAAAGGCTTGGCTTCATAGCGGGTGTTATAGCATAAAATGCAAAATGACTAAACCGATTTCACCAAGCACTGATGAATCGAATAACCCTTAATTCTTTAAGTTAATAGAGACATCCAGTAGGATAAATGAAGCGCATACCATGGCAGAGACGAGAGACCGTGAAATCGATTATGCAGACACGCACACCCTCCGTCTGCACAGAGTAGCTGACTCCGTTGACGCGGTAGCGCAGTTTTGTCTGTTTTGTAGGCTTCACGAGGACGTTAAGCCAATGGAGATCACGATGCTCGAACTGCAGCGCCGACTCCGCCGCCGCTAGGGACAGAGTTATCTGCTCAATCACCGAACGCGCCTCGCGGTAAGAAGAAAACTAGAAGAGGGCCAAAGCTCTAAGTGGGATTCATAGGAAAGAAAAACTTTGTGGGTATCAGACTGTGTACAGATCGAGCCAAGTATGATGTCCGAACCTATAATTCACGCCACTACATTAAGACAGGAATACATGTCTTTCCATCGATAGAAAGTGTCCTCGTGATACGAGACATTTTGGGAGGAGATAAAGCGTGAAACCTTTTATGCAGCGGTCAAAATACCCCATCAAATGATCAGGAGCAACTTATAAGTGAAAGACTCCACACCCGAGAAACTGCCGAAAAAAACTACTTATTTGTTGGCAAACTTTTATGATCGCAGCTGAACATACTCGGACTCAGTAGTTCCGATCCATGGTTATCAGATCAGTGTTACTAGTAGTCGACTTGACCAAAGAATCCTTATTCGACCGCGTTACTGAATAGGAATCAAGGTAATTCCAAATGGGTTTAGTGGATACGAATAGCTCTGGACGTAAATAAGGTCCCACGCCATCAAAAACAATGAGCATAGTCGAGCAAATTCAGGAAATTCTACGAATCCGTGTTCCGAACTAACCAATGCGTCAAAATTAATGTAGGGATCACTGATAGTCCAGTAGTATGAGTGACAGATATAGTTATCAAATGCACGAAAAATAATGATCATGAGCAAATGAATTTCAGCATTTTAGGTAGCGAAAAAAAAGATCATGGCGCCGTGTTGAATATTATCCAAGTTGATCAAAGGTACGGGTAGCAAATTCACTCGGCTTCAAATCAAATTCTTTTAGACCATGATTGGTGGGCACTACATGGAATTTCTTGATTAATAGACATATCCCCTTAATTCCACAAGTCCAAATTAGTTACTGTAACCACACAGAGATATTCTAATGGGCATAGAAAAACCAATGGTATGTACCACTTGAAAGTGAAGTCGTTTCACATGTTGGACACCAGTTAAGCTACAGAGCTCAATGGAGGGGGTTAAGTTGCAAATATTCAAGCTTTTATACAGTTCTCAAACAAGACCTTCTTTAGGCAGAATTTTAAAGTCAGATCCACAAATCCAGATCGAGTGAGCGTAACGGTAGCAACAAAACTGCACCCCTAGTGTAGCATGCCCTTAAGATACAACAGCAGCGACTAGGTTGCTCACACTGGCTTTTCGGGTTAACTAGGTCACGGCGAATCAGTGAAGCCAGCCTCACTGAAATACGCGTAAGCATGGAGACGTACGCACGAACGCTATTTAGGTGCATGAGCACGCACACAAAGATGCTTGCAGTAACAGTCATAGTAACAAGCACATCCTGCATAGAATCGAAATAGAATCAAGCCAAAAAAAAAAAAAATACTCTGGAAACAAAAGTAGCTCAGGATGAATGGGACCTGTCATTGAGAAGTTTCCCTCTGGAGAACAAATAGATTATTAAGAAATCAGAAATAAGTAAATACATGAGAATGACACTATCCAACTGAGAAACAACTTACTTTGATAGTGCCCAGGGGCTTGCCAGCATAGTCAAATTCGAGTATCATCCATTCCTGAGATCTTGGGAGGAAATCGAGACATTCGTTGTCAGAGCCGTGCTCTGCTTCGTACTTTTTCCAAGCGGCAGTCAATTCTGCTGGCCACTTGCCACAAACAATAGCGGCTCTAAAAAGCAGCATATGGTTAGGTGTTAGTGAAACTACGTCCTTGGTAAAATCTGTAGAGCGGGACAGACGAAAGCTGCATACCTCCGCAGTTGAATGAAATTGACCGTTCTATTTTGGCGGTACCTGAAGCCAAGTTCTGTGAGTTGTCTGGAAACAGCAAAACAATGTCAAAGCCGACAGTATCCGATGTAAGGCGACATTAATAGCCGGTACAAAAGATAACATACTTTGAAATGAAAACTTCTGGATATACACGACGTGATTCCATTTGCTTTTCCCCATTAACAGGAATATTACCATCGATGGGAAATACTTTAATAACACAGGTTTTGTTAGCTTGAAAGACTTCACCGTAGACCCCCTCACCAATCTTGGAAATATTTTCCAAGCTTCTAGCGAAAATGTTATAGCAAATGATAATGGAACTTACTCTGCATCGAAGAAAGATGAAAACGATCGAACTTCCGTTTGACCACAAAGTTCTAGTAATTTTGTCCGGGGATCACCAACTATAGATTGAGTCTAAAACAAAAAACGGGAGCTGAATACGGCTAAATCAGTATATTAAAAGGAATTCATAATGATAACCAACCAAGCGTAATAAGCAACATAAAAAGAGGCGGAACGTACGAAAAACGACTCATCAGTATTCCCAGAAGAGCTAAATTCAGATATTTCCAGCGCTCCTTCTGCATCAAACTCAATTTTTCGAGCATTCAATCGTTTGATTTTCGCTGCTTGGTCTTTACTCAAAGATCGGAAACGACGCGGTGAGAAAAGTGGTGACAGCACAGGTTCGCTATGCCGGAAATGAAAAAGACGTCCACCGAAATTTTCGCGATTCTCTAAATCAGATGTCCCATTCGATGATACGCTCCAAGCATCAATTTCGATATTCTTTTTCGGAGGAGTAGAACGGTTGGGAGTTCGGTTACCGTTAAAGTTCCGAAGTCTGCTCCTTATATCAGGAGTTTTCGATACTCGTAAAGAATGACGCGTCGGTTTCCTAGTCTTGTGTACATCATCACAGATCTGATTTACGTAAGAACGCGACCGCAGTCGCATAGTACCGACAAGTGACAATACGACGCCTAAACAATTTAACAAAAATGCCTATCCTAAAGCGTGCTAAAATATGAATTTCAAACCAAAATGTGGAACTTTCCAGAAAAAAAACTAGTTGGACTTCATAAATCATACGCGTTCTCTCAGAAATAGGGACTTAGTCAAAAATGGCGATGCTCTATAAAGTATGGCAGTAAAATAGGATTTTTTCACCTTCACTGCCTATGCGAAGCTGTCGCTTACTCCTGAGGAAGCCTACTGCCCTCATCAACGCGTTTACCGTCTTTCTCGTCTCATTCTATGGCAGTCTGAATAGCATCGATGAGTTGGTAAGTAGTGACGTCCTCATTGCGACTTTCCGCCATTTTTAGTTCCCGGTTTTTTTAAATTTGAGTCACGACAGGGCTTCAGACCGGAAAAAGTTGTCTGCACGACGGTATTAGTTGCTAAAATAGTAACTTGGCAAGACGAGTCTCCAGTGTTGGAGACTATTTACTAAGTGTACTGCAAAGACGGATGTGTGGTCAGTAAGAATTGTGAGATATCAGCTAAACGGTAGCTTGTGAACTCAATGAATAGTAGGCAGCAATGATAGAGCTTTGTTTTTGGTTTTGTGACGTCTTTTCGTTGAAGTTACTGTCTAAGATGCCTTAAGACTGTCTTTCCAGTTCCATCAGGAAACGTGTATGGCCAATCAGCTTTGACGCCGTAAGCGGAAGCGTCTGCAACTACGGCGATCGGTAGCTCTGGCGCATAATGAAGAATTGAGAGGCCTGACCTCAACATGGTCTTTAGCCCGAAAACTCTGGATTCGCATTCATCCGACCGGCTTCATGGGAGGACTTTCCAAGTATGACGTTCAGTGAGGTCTGAGTAGTGCAAAACGATGAAAAAGTTTCGAATGGCAACCTACGAGTTCCCAAAACAAAAGAATTGTTGAAACATTCTTCAGAGTTAACATTTGCTGGATTTCTCTGATGTCTCTTAGATCAGAATGACGAGTAGTAGCAGTGGAAATGAAGTCCAGGTTTTTATCTGATTTCCAAAAGAGTTTGCGTTTATCAGGGTGCAAATGGAGCCCGCTCCATTGGATGTGCTTAAGTTTAGACACGGTGTGATCCAAAAATTCACCCTATGCAATGCTTAAACTCAAAATAGCATGCAAGAATATAACAACATAATGGATAGCGGACAGAATAGTGTCCATTACATGCTGGAAAGTAGCCGAGTCTTCAGATGGACAGCTAGTCAGTTGTATTGAAATAACCAATACATCAAACAGGTAACATCTAGGTCCAACTTGGTGCAAAATGTTCCACCATTTAGGATGGCGGAAAAGTCCACCGGGGCAAGGAAGCAGGTAATGGCCAGAACTCCTTCTTCCACGGGACTCTGTATTTCTGAATTGACTGGATGCAGGCGGGTCTAATGCCGATGCAGCATCAGACTACTGATGTAAGATAATCTTTTTCATAAGGCAATGACTAAGACCTGGTAGGAAGGTGAATGTTTGCATGTATGCATGCATGCGCGAATGCACATTCTCACGTACACACAAGCATGCGCATGTCATGTAATCTGGACCTCTATTCGAACAGATTATAACCCTAGGATTTTATGCGACATTCACAAAACATTTATTTTGCTACAGATGGTCTAAATAAATCGAAATATCAGGGATTTCATGCCTTTTAGTTCATGAAATGGTTCTTTACCAGTGAGTTGGCAGAGCGGTTAGAGAAGGGACTAAATGGATTATTTCCATTTAATGATCTGAACTCGTTTTTACATAAAATCACCAATTAACCATTTTATCGAATCAGAGCTATTAAAATGATGTGAAAGTAAAAGAATAAAAATACAGGTGGTGGGGCTATCACTTTGTTTTACTCTTTCAGTATAGAGGTCAGAAATGTTATTTATTGAATTTCACGTTATATTAGATTACGTTACATAGTATTAGGAGTAATGAAGCTGTTTTCATTCATTTCGACTAGCAATGTTTCGAAACCCCACTTAACTCCATATAGTGGTAGGATGTCGAGGGATATCGGTCTAGTGTGCAAGGTTGTTAAAGTTCAAACTATTTCATACCCCCTTTCGTGACCAAAATCATCTGCAAAATTTGCCATTTGGAACAGAGAAGCACCTTTAAAATCCTACAGATGCTACAAAACGCCATATGGGGGTTTTTTTGAAATACTTAGAAGTATAAATTCGGAACTGGGAAGCAAATCGCGTCTAATGATGAGAGCTATCCGCAGGTGCATTTGACAGGCAAAGGCAGTGACACTCTGTGATGAGTAATAGACGGCTGTAGGAATAAGAGAGGGAATGGATAACATGCCGCCTAAGTAAGGCAACCGGTCACTTACAACCCCCTCCCCCATTGTGAACCAATGGCGTGCGGAGCCTGGCCAAGTCAGCAACAATAGCTAAACCCTACAATTAACATCAAACCAATGAACTATGAAGCAGTGCGCGACAGTTCCCGAAACAGCATATCTTTACCAGAAAACCTATTTACACAAACTGTGGTTGTAAGTACTGAAAAGAAATACCAGTCAAAATTTATTTGACCTGGAGTTGATTATAGCGGCGTAAACAAGTCCCAGAAATAACATAACAAGACAACAAGCGAAAAAAGCGTACATTGCTATTGGTATTTATACAGTTCCATTATATCTGAAAAGGTTCAGCGTCACAGCTATGTACACAGTAATTTGACACGGCATCGTGAGAGACTGGAACGAGGGCGGGGAGGGGTAGCTAAATGCAACGCTGAGCGGGGAGAGGGATAGCAACGGCGATGAGTTGGGAGAGACGATGATTTTATTCGATTCGACAGGTGTCGAAATAGAAGGAAGAGCGCACGAGACGCATAGCGGAGTCGTAGGAGCCTGAGAGGACGCTGTCATGCAGCGCCGCCAGCTCCGACTGTACCGCTTGGCTGTCGGGGTCACGTCGTGGGTAGGATGTCTCAGTCAACAGTTTCTCCATTAAGTAGTGCAACCAGTAGAGATTCGTGATGGGACGAAATGGTCGCCAGTTGTTCCTATGGGAAAAAAGCACTCCATTCAGTGCGAAGCCACCCCGTCTTTTAGCCAAGATACGCTATTTTGAATATATGACTACATCACTGACTTGTCTTAGTGACCGGGCCAATTCAAGTACAGAACTCTACAAATAAAATCCTAAAGGGTTATGAACTGGGACCTCCTAATCACTAAAATCCCTGAATTCACGCGTTATTTTGGTGATAACGAATAAGCTAACTTAATAGCATGCTTGGCAAAATCATGTCCCTGAAATGTCTTAATATCACTGAAATTTCCTTACATTTATCCGTAAGCGGAAGTCTCGTGATTAATCATAGCTATCTATAGTTATTGCCGCGAGGAAAATAAAACAATTGAGTTCAAATAAAGGAAATATCGTGAAACCATTCCACAAGGCAATCTCTTAGTTCATCACCATATTACATGAATTACTCTATTATATTTAACTGCTTATTCAGATACCGTTACTGTTTTCATACAGGAACAATGAAACTAAAATCATGTCTTTACTAGCATTCTTCTAAGAAACGAAATGGTCGAATACCACAGGAGATAGCCGATAATGCAACCGAAGACTCGCAAGACAATGGTTCATTCGAAATAAGAAATAAGGATAAATTTCGGTTTGATGCTAAGTTTCATCAGTAAATGGACGCAGTTTTAACTAATTCTCACTAATCTACTAATTTAATCACACTTGTAAATGCTATTTCATTCACAGACAAATAAACTTTTCATCTTCAGAACACATTTTTTCATTTGAGATCTTATTATAAATAATAATTAAGTCCTGGCCGAGGGGTCATACAAGACTTCGAGCCCCAAACATAACGGCGGAACACAGTGGAAAAAAACGGTGTTATAACGATACTTCGATAAACTATTCCGACTTAATATCGAAGATTTGATTTATCCGAGCCCCTAACAGTGAAAGACTGGCTCTATTGAGATGACTTTTATTTCAAGTAGAATTGTAAAAAAATTTACATCCACCAGCTTTCTTCGATGTATTTTAACGACTAGAGAAGAAACAAGCCTCCACACTTTAGCATAAACAAATAGTGCACAACTTTTACGTTCTCTGCTATGACGTTAGTTTTTGGTTCAAATCAACCGCACTATCTTGATTTATAGCCATTTCGTTTCAATCAGATATTCCGAAATTAAGTAAAAGGGCTAAGTTGATTTGTTGACATGAGAATCAAACATTATCTTGATAAGACTAGAAAGCCTAGTAGAGGATCTTTGAGAAAAGTTTAGAATAGGAGTGCACTAGATCAATCAACAGGAAATTATGGGAATACTATGAAATCGTATACCTGAAAATTAATATATTTTATCTATGACCTCTGATCCTAGCCGAAAAAGCACATTTGATACTGAATGGCCTAGTGTAATGATATCGGTCACAGATTTTAGCGCGTCGAATGGAGCACAAAATCAGAGATGTTGATTGGGCATACCCGTTCATATTGCGCATCATTCGGTAAATTTCAAACTGATAGTCACCTTCACATTCGAAAATTTCGGGAGAATCTGACATGTCCACATACACGATGTTGCCTTCTACAAAAAGAAACAAATTAACTAGAGAAATTTATAACGAATTTCTACGAAAAATTCATTAACATCCGTTTAAATATATTTACTAATTTTATTTCATTAGACTGTGTTGTATAACAAAACGTTTAGCACCATCGGCTAGAAAGATAACATATATACAAATTAAACGATCTCTTAATGGGCTTCCATGTCAAATTTTAAAACAAGGGCATACAAGACATATTATGGGTAATTACGAAATGCTAAGCACCTAAAAGAGTAGCGGCAATACGCAAGGTACAGCCTCAAAAACAAACGATTCAAGAGCAGACAAAATCAGTTGGAGGGGTCAATTTTCCTATCACGTCACACGCTCCTAAAATCGATTTCAGTTTGTGTTCACAAATTTCATAAATGCACCTCAATAAGGGGCGCATATAGTCAGAAAGCGGATTCGATATCCGTAGAGAGTTCAATAATAGATAGTCATTTGCAAGTTATTGCACAAAGTTCCAAATTCCTCATATGGAAGGAAACTGATTGAAATGGAAAGGCTTGGCTTCATAGCGGGTGTTATAGCATAAAATGCAAAATGACTAAACCGATTTCACCAAGCACTGATGAATCGAATAACCCTTAATTCTTTAAGTTAATAGAGACATCCAGTAGGATAAATGAAGCGCATACCATGGCAGAGACGAGAGACCGTGAAATCGATTATGCAGACACGCACACCCTCCGTCTGCACAGAGTAGCTGACTCCGTTGACGCGGTAGCGCAGTTTTGTCTGTTTTGTAGGCTTCACGAGGACGTTAAGCCAATGGAGATCACGATGCTCGAACTGCAGCGCCGACTCCGCCGCCGCTAGGGACAGAGTTATCTGCTCAATCACCGAACGCGCCTCGCGGTAAGAAGAAAACTAGAAGAGGGCCAAAGCTCTAAGTGGGATTCATAGGAAAGAAAAACTTTGTGGGTATCAGACTGTGTACAGATCGAGCCAAGTATGATGTCCGAACCTATAATTCACGCCACTACATTAAGACAGGAATACATGTCTTTCCATCGATAGAAAGTGTCCTCGTGATACGAGACATTTTGGGAGGAGATAAAGCGTGAAACCTTTTATGCAGCGGTCAAAATACCCCATCAAATGATCAGGAGCAACTTATAAGTGAAAGACTCCACACCCGAGAAACTGCCGAAAAAAACTACTTATTTGTTGGCAAACTTTTATGATCGCAGCTGAACATACTCGGACTCAGTAGTTCCGATCCATGGTTATCAGATCAGTGTTACTAGTAGTCGACTTGACCAAAGAATCCTTATTCGACCGCGTTACTGAATAGGAATCAAGGTAATTCCAAATGGGTTTAGTGGATACGAATAGCTCTGGACGTAAATAAGGTCCCACGCCATCAAAAACAATGAGCATAGTCGAGCAAATTCAGGAAATTCTACGAATCCGTGTTCCGAACTAACCAATGCGTCAAAATTAATGTAGGGATCACTGATAGTCCAGTAGTATGAGTGACAGATATAGTTATCAAATGCACGAAAAATAATGATCATGAGCAAATGAATTTCAGCATTTTAGGTAGCGAAAAAAAAGATCATGGCGCCGTGTTGAATATTATCCAAGTTGATCAAAGGTACGGGTAGCAAATTCACTCGGCTTCAAATCAAATTCTTTTAGACCATGATTGGTGGGCACTACATGGAATTTCTTGATTAATAGACATATCCCCTTAATTCCACAAGTCCAAATTAGTTACTGTAACCACACAGAGATATTCTAATGGGCATAGAAAAACCAATGGTATGTACCACTTGAAAGTGAAGTCGTTTCACATGTTGGACACCAGTTAAGCTACAGAGCTCAATGGAGGGGGTTAAGTTGCAAATATTCAAGCTTTTATACAGTTCTCAAACAAGACCTTCTTTAGGCAGAATTTTAAAGTCAGATCCACAAATCCAGATCGAGTGAGCGTAACGGTAGCAACAAAACTGCACCCCTAGTGTAGCATGCCCTTAAGATACAACAGCAGCGACTAGGTTGCTCACACTGGCTTTTCGGGTTAACTAGGTCACGGCGAATCAGTGAAGCCAGCCTCACTGAAATACGCGTAAGCATGGAGACGTACGCACGAACGCTATTTAGGTGCATGAGCACGCACACAAAGATGCTTGCAGTAACAGTCATAGTAACAAGCACATCCTGCATAGAATCGAAATAGAATCAAGCCAAAAAAAAAAAAAATACTCTGGAAACAAAAGTAGCTCAGGATGAATGGGACCTGTCATTGAGAAGTTTCCCTCTGGAGAACAAATAGATTATTAAGAAATCAGAAATAAGTAAATACATGAGAATGACACTATCCAACTGAGAAACAACTTACTTTGATAGTGCCCAGGGGCTTGCCAGCATAGTCAAATTCGAGTATCATCCATTCCTGAGATCTTGGGAGGAAATCGAGACATTCGTTGTCAGAGCCGTGCTCTGCTTCGTACTTTTTCCAAGCGGCAGTCAATTCTGCTGGCCACTTGCCACAAACAATAGCGGCTCTAAAAAGCAGCATATGGTTAGGTGTTAGTGAAACTACGTCCTTGGTAAAATCTGTAGAGCGGGACAGACGAAAGCTGCATACCTCCGCAGTTGAATGAAATTGACCGTTCTATTTTGGCGGTACCTGAAGCCAAGTTCTGTGAGTTGTCTGGAAACAGCAAAACAATGTCAAAGCCGACAGTATCCGATGTAAGGCGACATTAATAGCCGGTACAAAAGATAACATACTTTGAAATGAAAACTTCTGGATATACACGACGTGATTCCATTTGCTTTTCCCCATTAACAGGAATATTACCATCGATGGGAAATACTTTAATAACACAGGTTTTGTTAGCTTGAAAGACTTCACCGTAGACCCCCTCACCAATCTTGGAAATATTTTCCAAGCTTCTAGCGAAAATGTTATAGCAAATGATAATGGAACTTACTCTGCATCGAAGAAAGATGAAAACGATCGAACTTCCGTTTGACCACAAAGTTCTAGTAATTTTGTCCGGGGATCACCAACTATAGATTGAGTCTAAAACAAAAAACGGGAGCTGAATACGGCTAAATCAGTATATTAAAAGGAATTCATAATGATAACCAACCAAGCGTAATAAGCAACATAAAAAGAGGCGGAACGTACGAAAAACGACTCATCAGTATTCCCAGAAGAGCTAAATTCAGATATTTCCAGCGCTCCTTCTGCATCAAACTCAATTTTTCGAGCATTCAATCGTTTGATTTTCGCTGCTTGGTCTTTACTCAAAGATCGGAAACGACGCGGTGAGAAAAGTGGTGACAGCACAGGTTCGCTATGCCGGAAATGAAAAAGACGTCCACCGAAATTTTCGCGATTCTCTAAATCAGATGTCCCATTCGATGATACGCTCCAAGCATCAATTTCGATATTCTTTTTCGGAGGAGTAGAACGGTTGGGAGTTCGGTTACCGTTAAAGTTCCGAAGTCTGCTCCTTATATCAGGAGTTTTCGATACTCGTAAAGAATGACGCGTCGGTTTCCTAGTCTTGTGTACATCATCACAGATCTGATTTACGTAAGAACGCGACCGCAGTCGCATAGTACCGACAAGTGACAATACGACGCCTAAACAATTTAACAAAAATGCCTATCCTAAAGCGTGCTAAAATATGAATTTCAAACCAAAATGTGGAACTTTCCAGAAAAAAAACTACCAGATTTACTTCGTGAACAAATGATAGACGATAGCGGCTGCGAAAGCACAACGAACACTAAAGCCAGTATAAAAACCAGTAAAAAGTGGATTCCAGCATTTCCATTTCTATTGGCAGGTTTAAAAGAG